AAACCCCCTTCCTGTTCGGCGTGCGGACGTGCAATGAGGCAGAGGAACCCAAACTTGACGGATGGATGGCCAACAGCTGTGTATATAGAACGAGTACATTTCCTCTGACAGTGAAAAAAAACATAAAACCCTGTTTCGGTAAAACACTGAGTCACTGCTCTCACACCATAAACATATGTGTAAACACCGAGTTTGAAACTGTCTTCTGAAATAGAACAAACAAGCCGAGAAAGGGACACAAGCTTTAATATGTAGAAGTAGTTTTACTAAATGTAGGTTTGATGTATAGGCCTATTTCAGCCTTATGGGCGGTACAAATTGGATTATTATATTAGTTTTCTTAAGTTCTTTCTGATATACGTAATTCAGCTCCTGAGTTGGGCGATCCCATTCCAATTATTCTCAAAATTAGACAGCTTTAAGAGATGAACCTCGGCTGCCAAAGAGCTGCTCGGCTTGTGTGGAAATTTGTGACGCTGCTCTTATTTCAGGTGTGGAACTTGTCGTAAACCATCCGCACATTTCCACGCGCAAATCTTATTTTTTTTTTTTTTTACTGGTTGCATCTGTTTCCGAACCATATTTGCCCGATGGAGCATTGTACCTTTTTTTTTTTTTTTTTTTTTTTGGCAACATTTCAATATCCAGCATAAAATTTAAGCAAGTCATTACTTTTATATGCCATTAAAACAGACGGTGCTATGCATGGGCTAAAAATAAATTTTGTGTAAAACAGAAAAAAAAGGCTGAATTGTATCACCACGTTCTGCAGGTTGGAGAAAACCTAAAGCCGTAGTATTGGCAGTAAAGATGTCTCCTCCTTACTGACAGCTCCCAAACTTCAGTTCATAAACCTGTCTGGAGATTATGTGCACGGCTGAGACGCTCAGTCTAACTACTTGGCCGGCGCTGCAATGGAAACATTTTTATGCATGACTATATTCTCACTGTTGATGGTGCATTTGAGAGAGCTAATGCACCAGTCTAGGTATGGTTTATACATTTCTACCAAACAACAATCATGTTCAGATTATGCAGGCGTTTCCTGGTTTTTTTGGTTTTTTTTTTTTGCCTTGGCACATGTTTGCTTTCCCATGACATGGCCTGAGAATTTATTCAATATGCAAAGTGAATGCATGACTGTATTCAGAGCATAATAAACTGCTTAAATTTAACTAAAAAAACCCAACTCTGCATCCAAGATTCCTCACAGGCTGCGTGAGAGTAACCATAGCGCTGCAATTTGGATAAACGACGAAGATGAAAGCAGAATTGCGTTTTTACATGCCTTCTAGACTGCTTGCACATTTTTCTAAAAGCACCAATGTCTGGGTGTGTAATTACACACTAAATGCTGTTTTTTTTTTTTTTTTTTTTAAAGGAAGTGTGTGTCGCTGCACAAACATGAAACCCCCGACTGAAAATGGGCACATTGCACAAAGGCACGCCCCAGAGTAGTACAGACGCAGAGGAGGATGACGACAGAGAGCCATTAGACTAATCGATGGTCTGATCGGGACGCTTGACGTAATGACTGAAAATGTGATGTGTCCACAAGACTTTGTTTAAAAGATCGCTGTGTGAATCATTTTGAGGCCTTGAGTGTTATAATCACTGCTGGAAAATGACTTAATGCATTACCTCAAGTGCTTTGCTGTAGCACACTTTTAAGACTCTATCAACTTTTCCATTTCATGTTTGTTATAATAGAACTCCCCTCAATGTACTCGGTTACATTTATTTCACAATTTTTGCTGATTCAAATGTACTTTTCTTAAGATTGAATTATCAAACAGTGAAGAGTGTGATCAAAAGTAACTCCAACTTAAACATCCAGGACAATACAATAGCACTTAAACATGAATGTGTTGATATTAATCATTAAATTAATGTATAAATAACGAGTAAAACGGTCAGTGGCCAATTCTTTTCTGGTTTTTAAGTACTTTTATCTTTAACTTAAACATTAAATTTGTCTTGTAAAGGACTACCGGTAGTTTAATATGGTTGAATTCTCATTATAATGGAGGAAGAATCAATCTTTCATCATTCCTTGCACTACGAGAACCTCCGCCTTAATGCTGGATTATAACCTGAGAAGGAGCACTGGTGTCTTTACATTTCTAGTATCTAAAAATCACCGCACGGCATCCACACACCCAGCATCTTTCAGACCTCCTCCATGCCAACACACCGCCCCTGAACCTCCCGTGCTCAGAGACTAGTCCGCTCTCTCCACTCCCCACACCAACCTGCGGACTTTCCGGGGCAGAGCCTTCAGTGTGGCGGCGGCCCCCCCCCCCCCCACCGTCTGGAACTCTGTCCTGGGAGTTTTACACAACGCTACATCCTCGGACGTTCTCAAAAACATTACAAAAATCTAATTTACATATTTCTCATTTTGTTTTTTTAAACTTTTGTTTGTGTGTGTAACTTGTTCTGCTTTAATGTAAATCCTCCTTTGGTCCCTTGAAAGTCGCTGTATACATTTTTATTTGTATTAATTGTATTTATACTTTTTAAAGGAGCTGAACACTTCCTGTATTCCGATGGTGTATAATGCATATTTTTAATGAACACATTAAAAATTCAAAACTTTCACTGGTGAGATTTGATCTTTTTTTAATTTAACTTGTAGTGATGTGTCTTCATACTGTATCATTACCACTTTAACTTCAGTTAAAAGTCACATTAACACCCCTGAGTTGTGGTATACTTGTCAGTATTATTTCACTTCAAACAAGAAGAAGTCAGAAAAATAGAAACACTATTTTGTGTGGGAAAAACTTGATTTGGATTATTTCCTTTCTCATTAATCACGTATGACCTCGGCGGGGGGGAGGGGGGTGTTGTCCCTACCAACACGTTGGGAACGTCTATTTGAGAGATGTAACTTTGTATAATCTAAAACAAGGACTTGAAACTCTCAGGGTTTAATTATCATCCGCTTTAAGCTTCATTATGCTGCCAGTATGCTTCCCCGGATGAGGCAGGCTGTGAAGACATGCGACCTCTGTGAGGGAATGCTGGGTGTCATCTGTGTGGAGCATCTCTGCGGTGTCACAGAGACAGAGGGAAGACACGGGGTGTGATTTGTTAAATGCGGGACACCCCCTTCGGTATTGTTTCGACAACATGGGGGACATCTGGCATCGGCAATTCAGCTCAGTGTCGAGGTCTCCCATCCTCTTTCTGGAGCAGTGAGCTGTGCAGCATTGAAGCACTGCTTTCACATTCTCATGCTAATAACCCCCAACCCCAAAAAAAAAAAAAAAAAGGCTGGAGCAGATGTGAAACATTTGGTTGTGTTCTTGTTCACTTGTAAAGAAATAATGTGCCCCCTTATCATTATTTCGCTTCTTTTTGTTCTTCTGCGTGTCATAAAGTAAGAGTTCAGGGTAGAGGCCGACTTCTTTGGTGGCCTGACTTCAGCTGCATGTGGAGGCTGACAGAGAGAAATAGTCTCCGAGACATGACGGATGTTTCTAACTTTTTCAAACGTGCTAATTTGGAGCAAAACTTGGTTAGATGCAAATTTATTTAGAGACTATGACAACAACTTCTGCCTTTGAATCAGAGTAGATGGGGGGGGAAACAACAACTTTAAAAATGAACATTAGTAGAGTTTTGAAGAAACTAGAAATGTATTTTAATTATCTACTTTTACTCACATCAATAAAACACAAAAATCTCTCTGAACATTATATTTTTCAAATCAGGCTTTTAACTTTATTTTAATGTATTTAAATCTGCAGCATGTTTTTTTTAGTGTTGCCAAATTATGATATTCTTTCTATAGAAGATCACAACATTGTTTTTTATTGTTACTGTGTGTTATTCTCCATCTGATTTTGTTTGTCAAGCACTTTAGGTGGCATGCTTTCATGAAAGATTCAGTTGAAATAAAGCTTTTAACGTTATCGTTTGCGAGAGGAAGTTTCAGAAATTTTCATAATTTGGGGCTGCCGTCCAATAGCAAGACAAACACAAACCTAAGTATAGACGACAACAACACACAGAGAAAGAGATTCTTATACGGGAAGCCATCAGTGCTTATCACCCACAACAGTCGGAAAACATGGAAAACAACGCTAAAGACGTATCAGGACAAAAAAAAGACGGGGGAATGCGGGGGAAAGCTTGTACCAACATGGATTAAAGAGAACCAACATTGCCTTTGAAGGAGCGGATTCAAAGCATTTCCAAGCCGACTAATTGTTTGTCTTCTTTAAACTTTTATACAGTTAGGAGTACCTGTAAGTACATTTCAGAGCTTGTTTTTTTACTTTTGTAAAGCGGTTGAGAAACTTCAACTTGTAACCCTTGTTTTTATAAACAAGTAACTGTGCTTTTACTAAGGTAAAAGATGTTTGTGCTTTTGTCATATCTGCTGTTTTCACACCTTTTTTTTTTTTTTAACATATGTCAGTTTGTATGGATTCAAGCATTCATTATATTTTATGTTCAACATTTTGTGTTGCGTGTAAAGTTCACTGTATTTCTTCATACTTTTGCTAATTAAAAAGTTTATAGTGAATACAGTTCAGTCATTGACTTAAAAAATTTAAAATAAATGTTATGAAATGTGGGAACATATCTTTTGTCATGACTCTTAGTAAAAAATTTTAAATGTCCTTGCAACATTTTTTCCACTGTAAAAATAAACAAAAACATGATTTTGTGATTGAGCACTAGGAAAAAAATATGTTAACTGAAAGAAAACATTTAAAATTTGACTTAAATAAATTAAAGTTATTGGGTTATTTTGATCATATCTCTGTAAATTATTGTACTGACGTCACATATGGTTAAAACAATATTTAGTACCCTACATAGTAAATGCTCTTATCTTACTGGGATGTTCTGCGTCTCAGTGTCCCGCCCACCTGGCATCTGATTGGCTCCTTGTCTTGCACTCTCCTCATCACATTGGTCAGGGAGATGTCTGTCAAGCCACCTGACGTGCGAGACAAGTTTACAACTCTATACACGTGCGGCTGGTACATCAGGGCTCGCGGTGGCATCCTACACAGAGGAAGGACAGAGGAGAGACCTTATTACCTGAGGCAAACACACATCGGTGGACTCTGTGGGGCTTTTGTTTTCGCAGTTTCCTGTCACTTTTGGACGTCCTCACCTGAGCTCAGCAGGTATCATTTGGCACTTTTTTTGGGGGGGGGGAGGTGAAAAGACAGGTGTTTCCATCCACAGCAGTGGAAGAAGACTCAATTTCCGTTTTTTTTTTGTTTTTTTTAATGGCAAGAAGTCTCGGTTATGTGTGCCTAGCATGGCTGTGGCTCCTGCACCGACCACCCAGGGACCGGTATGGCTTTTAGCCGCATCAGTAAACTGGACCCCCCGTCCCGAGGCATCTTCAGGAGAGCGGCGGTCATGCTGTGCTCCCTCCTCACCTCCCTTCTCCTCCTGCACTGCCTCACGGAGCGCTGCGGCACCTCCTCGCCGGTGAAAGCGTCCTCCAGCCGGGTTGAGGGACATCATAATGAGGACTTAGGAGGGTCGATAAGGAGTAAAAGACTGCTTTATGAATGGACAGCCGGGTCTGAGCTGACAGGCTACGGGGCTTCCAGGCGCTCCTCGCGGGTTCTCGCGGATGAGCAGACGCCGGAGCAGCCCGAAGAGTCTTTCATGTTGCCGCCTCCGGATTTGGTTGCCTCCAGGAAAGTGTCGCCCAGGTTCGCAGGTAAACTCAGTCCGCTCGGGGAGGGGAGCAAGAAGCTGCCACAGGCTCTCATCATCGGGGTGAAGAAAGGAGGGACCCGGGCCCTGCTGGAGTTTCTCCGGGTCCATCCGGACATCAGAGCTGTGGGAGCGGAGCCGCACTTCTTCGACCGAAACTATGACAACGGACTGGAGTGGTACAGGTAACTATTTGATTAATTTGCTACTTAAGGAGTTAAAACGAGACGCAAATCCTGAAAATTGTTTATATTACTGACTTAACTGTAAAAGTATTTAGAGATGGTTTATTAACATCCCTGTGAAAACTTCTATTATCTCTAGTTAACCATGATAGATCGTGTTTATCCAACTTTTTATTCAACCTGCTGCGACATCACTGATAAAGATTAGTGTGCATAACCCAGATATCTTTACTCAACATCTTTCTTACCGAGTCGGCTTAATTGCTGTTGGATGAAGAAACACCGTGGACAAGCCTGTTGATTTATTACGCCACATTAAGCCTGACTTCATGAGATGTTATCAGGCTGCTCATTTTGTTGCACATTTTCGGGTTGACTGCACCTTTGTTACACCCTAGTCTGGGCTATGGCGGAATACATTTACGACTTGATTTTGCTGGTTCATAAGACGAGAATTTATCTCAACATTCATAAAAGTTAATTTAATTTAAGTTTTAGTGGTCTTACTTTTCTGCAGATCACTGTGATGTCTAAGCACAAGTAAACACACATGTTCACTCTCAGTAGAAGTTTTAGCGAAGTTTTTATGAGATGCATTTTCTACAGCATACTTGCTCAGTCAAAATAAGCTTCAAGACACTTGACTTAAAATAAAATATAACGAGCATTATGCATATTTGTCATACTGTCAAAATAAAATCCTTAAACCCTTTTTTTTTTTTTGCAAGTTACAGAAAACTAAAACGAGCTTGTAATAAAAAAAAAAAACATGTCATGTTTTGCTTGTTAAAAATGAAAACCTCTTTTGTCCATGTGCTGACTAATGAAAAAGGTTCATCACTCTTAATTTACACAAGCTCTGCAATTTTTTTACCCCAAATAAATGTCAGAAGTTTTCAAACTTTTTAAAAGTTAATTGCACTCTGGAACATAATTTAATACACCAAACTTTGGATAATACTATAAAAAATATTCCCTTTCTTAGAAAACCTGCTGGCTATAAATTATGACAGGCTATATCATGTCAAACCCTTTTTTTTTTTTAAGTATTAATTATTTTTTATATGATATATTAGTCTGAATCACAGACCCAGTTTAATCTTGCCTTGACACAAGACAAACTTCAGAAACACTACCACATGAACACTGACTCTCCCTCATTGCTCCATCTCCTTATGGAGGAGGTTTGTGCTGCTTTTCCTCGCTCAAGTTGAATTTTTGTGATCGATATCATCTGCCACGGCGAGTGTGTGTGTGTGTGTGTGTGTGAGTGTGTGTGTGTGTGTGTGAGTGAGTGTTGTGTGTTCACATTTCCACAGGCCCGTGGGGAATAATGGCTCTCCCTCTCAGTGGTTCTCTGTCTAATGGGGCATTGCCGACATCGCAGCTCTGTTATTAAGAAGGATTAGGGCCATAATGAAAGGTTACCTGAGTGTCTCTGGAGGTATAATTCACCTTTTGATTGAGTTAACACTACACACAGCACCCTCTAAAAGCCTGGAGACAAAACTTTTACTCTCCCTATCCGACAACTCCCTCCATGCCCTTCTCGCTTCCTCCTCCTCTCCTCCCCCCACAAACACTCTGGCTCTCCACCATCTCCCACTCACACACCTCCCTCTTTGTGCCTCTCTGAGAGTGAACACTCTCTTTTCCCCATCACTCTTTCACACCCTTCTGTTTACCTATTCATCCATTGTGGGGTTTTATATCCAAGAGGGTCCCATCCATCCCAAGGAGTTGCCAAGATTCTCTGGAATTTGGACCGTGCCTCCAAGGACGGACCTTTAGTGCCGGTTTCCTCTTAATGCCGTCCATTTAAAGAACACAAGGACCCTTGAAATGAAAAGAGGAATAAATAACTGTTACAACAGCGTGGCCCACTTTGTAGGAGTTCATCTTGTCCGCTCTCCTCAACAACGCCTGAGAGTTTTCTCTCTGACGGTTTTTCTGCGGAAGCTTTTGATTGAGTCGCATTTATCTGAAGTTGTTGATGTTGTTGTGTTGTTCTTCTAAAGTGCTTGTTGAAACTAGGAAATCAGCCCGATTGCATCTTTAATTTAACTAAATCACCACAAGCTGTACTTCCCCCCCCCCCCGAGACACTGTCATGTATCAATGCTTTTAAGAGATGACATGTTTTATGTGCTCAAGTTGAAGAACAAACTCCAAACAAGCCTCGGACGTGATAAAAAACTCAATAATCGCGTCCTTAATATGAAGAACACTAAAATACTATCTTTAGATGTTTGCAGACAAGAGGCTAAGGATTAAAAAATTGAGGCGTTAAAGTTGAAGAATGAACAACAAAGACAATGAGATCCACAGAAGTAATATAAATACTTTCCCTTTAAAGTTAAAATTATAATAATAAATACAGTTTATGTTTGTAGAAAAGAACGCCAGGAAGGAAAGAAGTTGAGGAATGAACTTCCAAATACTACTACAACAAAAATAATAATAATTAGCTTCACAACTGTCCAAAACAAGTTTTAAACTCAACATTACTTTAAAACAAAGACCGTCTTTATGTTTGTGGAGAACAAGTGCAGGTTTTAAAGTGACTGTGTCAAGTTTTAGGAATAAAAGCTCTGCACATGCTCAGTACAAGCTTGATAACTTCATGATATTCTTTAAAAGCACATTGAGCTCACGGTAAAGCACACTGAGTTTATGTTTTTAATGGAGTATGCTATCCATAGAAAATTGGACTTGATTCCAATTTTAATTAATAAAATATGTATTGAAATTTGTACAAAACAAGGGCGGGTTTAAAGCTAATTTGTAAAGTAAGGGAGCAAACTCTCAAATCCAAAGAAAGTGCTTCAAACATGTCCCGTAGGCTACATGCTTGAAAATAAAAAAGTGCTGTCCTTCTAAATTCAGAAATACAAGACTATCTTGATGTTTACAAAAAAATAAAGGGCCAGGTTTGAAAGCTTAACTTTGAAAGCTCTCCCAAATACTAAAAACCAAAACACTTCCAGGCTTGTCTAGAAGAAGCGATGTGTTGATGCCTGAAGGAAACAAGTCCATGTTTGAAATCTAATATGTGTCAGTTCATGTATCAACTGTCAACAACTAAGAAGCGGCTCCACAAAACGTACCTGAATGTGCTGTAAACTCAAAGCGACTGTCCTTTAAAATATATTAAAGTAAAATAATCACAATGTGTTTATGTTTGTTGGAAACAAGGCGAGTTTTCTGTGACTAATCACTGTATTCAATTAGCTTAAATTATGGGATTCCTTTCATTAGCAACAGTGAAGACTTCAAAACGTAGACGCTTCCGTCTCTGGAGACTCTTTGTTTATTTGATACACGTCCTCAGCGTGAATCACTCGTCTCCGTCCCTATGGGAACGTGTGGAACAAACTTTTAACACGTCTAAGCTCTTAATGTGACGTGGCAGCATCTCCAGCCCTCCTTCTTTTCCCAGCTTTTTCTCTGAATTATACTTGTCTTCTTCGTTGTGGGAATTTTCCATCAAACCGGCCCCTGAAGTCGCACACCACCCAAAGCTAGGACGCAAAAAAAAAAAATCTGTAATTTATTGAGACGGATAAAAGTTGTCGTTTTGACGGCGCGGCTGTCGCGGCATGAAACATTGGTAGCTTTAAACTTTTATGTTTCCAAAGACTCCAAACAGTCGGGTAAAAAAAAGTCATATTCAAGTCTTGGTGACAACTTTAAATCGTTTTTTCACATCTTAGTGAGTTCTTCGGGGTGTTGAGGATGATTGCAGCTCTCTGAATTCTTCCTTTTTTGTGCTCCTTAGTTCCTTGAGACTTTAAGGCCTTTTGTCAAACAGGAAACCAACACCGGACCCAATCGCCCGCTCAGTCAGTGTTACATTTCACTACACATTTCTCTGCGGTGTACCCGTATAATCACATACAACCTATTAGGCTTTTGTTGTGGAAATGGACACTCAGAGTGAACAAGGAGGTCAAGCACAAACACTGTGGACTAAAGCAGAGGTCCATGCTGCAGAGCGGTCGGTATTGTGTTTTTGGGCTACTTGGGTTACTGAACGGCCGGCTTTCACCTGTCTAGACCCAGCTGCGGTCCCCGTTTGAAGTGTGTAGACCGGTTGGATTAGCCTTCACCAGATCCCTTAATGGGTTAATTATCCTTCCTAAAAACATGTCTGACCTGTTAACACAAGGGCAGTGTGCCACCAACCCCGACTGGTGTGTATTTATCCAGACAAACAGTCAGAGTACACTCAGCGATACACGAATCAGTTCCTGTTATAAAGTCCACTAAACGTCTAAAACAAATAACCACTTTGAAAAATAAAAACAGTAAAATATTCAGAAAAAAAAAAAAAAGACCAGGGAGTTTATGTCAGGAAAACTTTTGTGTAAAGTCCAGATTTTCTTGAAATGTTTTTCTCTGTGTTTGCGGAACTTAAAAAGCAAATGAAAAGAAAACGCTCAGTTGGAAAAAAATCTGAAAATTGACATTTAATTCGGGGGTTTTCCCTCTCTAGAAAACTGGCCGTATTTGAAAGGACATTTTGCAAAGGGTATTAAAAACGGAGTCTGAATCATGAAAGAGTGATTCGGGGTCAGAGAGCGGCAGGGTGGATCTGATCTGTGTTTCTCGGCTGTTGGGTGGTCTGTGAGGCAAGGCGGTTTTAAAAGCGGTAACTCAAAATACCTACTTCAATTACAATAATGAATGGATGCCACATTGTCTTCATTAGTGATCAGGATTTTGGTTCTTCATCAGGCTATGAAGTGGTTTTTTTTTTTTCACACCCATATCGTGTTGCAAAGAAAATAAAATTACACACGTCAAGTTCTGATGGTTAAAGTCTGAATTCACAAGGTTTTAATTTAGGGGCTGACTTCCAAGTTTCTGATTTGTTGGCTGTGTTTAGAGGTCGATGTTAATTGATTTGGTGGCAGAGTTTTAAACTCTCGCCGTGCTTCGCTCCCATTTGGATGTTTCACTCGCGAGTGTGAAGAGGCTCGGAGGAGGAGCGGTGGAAA